CCTACCTCTCCTTTGTACCCTATTTCTTCACATGTTTAAGTCAGTAAACAAACCAACAAACACTTGTTCTCTTGCTTCCTAAGGCCTCAGGATTATTTTTTTCCCCAAAATATCATTACACCATTATCCTTTTATAATCTGAAACATCACAGGGTGGTTCCAAAGAAAAGCCAAGACTTTGGTTTTTTTCCCTAAATTCTATTCCAGATATCAAAGAAGCAATCTCTTCTCAGCCCACCTTCTACAAGAAAACAGTGGAATAGTCTTGACTGTTCCCCTCTCCCTGTAAGATTAAAAAACAAAAGTGGGGGGGGGACATTTTTGGTTTCTCTTCATCTTAAAACACTCAAAGTATTTTTTAGCAGATCTTTAAAAATCTCAAAATCTTAAAAAGCATTTTATTTAACCCTGTTTTTATATATTAGGAAAGAGACAAGAGTAGGTAACATTAGCAAAAGGAAGATATTCTTAACTATCAAAAATGAAACTTAACTATTACAACTACAAATAGTAAAACCATCATATATGTACAATCAAAAGTTGCCAAGGAGAGAAAACACACACGGCCAAAGGACTGCTGATAGGATATGAATCCAGCAAGATGCTTAGCATTTGTTAATCATAATCACTTAGATATATCACTAAGACTGCTTCTAGAATAAAAACTGAAATATTAAAGAAATTGCTCAGAAAGCAAAATTCTCTTTAAAAGTCAACTAAACAGTCGGCAAGAGAACACTTGATTCTGAAGCTCTTCCATCTTTAAGACAAAAAAAAACAAACAAACAAACAAAAAAAACCTTGAATATGTAAGAAACCGTCAACATCTTATACTTTAACCTAATTATGATGAAAAGGAAGAAGAAAATTTTAAATGCAAAATTTCAGTTTCTTTCAATGATCCTTCAAGATCATCCATTCACACAAAACTCTTAAGATGGAAAGTCTATATAGCTACTGGTAACTTACATTACCCAAAGAATTACATACATTGATTCTCTACGTACATTAAATAATCATATTCTGAATAGTGAGAATACCTCTTCTTTAAACTTCTTTGAATTTCTCAACTCATTACCAACACTACGAAAAAGTCATCAAGGCAACCTACAAAAAGAAAATCTATTTTTAGTTGATTTCTGCTTCTTTTCTAATAAAAAAATTCTAACTAAAAATTATGTAAAAGGCAGTAATGATATACTTATTAATGAAATTACACTCTGTCAGACAGATAACAGAACTGATTAACTTGTTTTTACCTTTAAACCCTTAAGTTAAAAGACAGATTTATTCAAAGCAGAGTGCTGACAAAAAAAAAAAAAAAAGTCAGATGTTCCTTGAGTCTACCATAACAGAAAACAAAGTTTAAGAGACTGACTAAAACTTAAGCCATGATATTTTAAAAAGTTAAAAACAAGGGAAGTTTTTTTTTTAAACAAATTTTTTCTGCATTAACCGATGGATCTAGCCGATCCAAAGAGACTACTACATATAGTTCTTCCTACCGTAGTTAACTGGTATATTCATGATAGGTACACCTACTTTATTCTTAACACACTCCTTGATGAAACGGCCAAAATTATTTTCTTGACACTAAAAAAAAAAAATCTGCTAGAAGCTAATGGATTACGAAAAATGCTTCTGATATGAGAATAATGTTAAGTACTTCTTAAGCAGTGTGCTGAAATAATCACTGCCTGCTTTACCACCTAGCTCAGGAAAATCAAAATCTTTCCTCAAATCTCCAGAAAAAAAAGAAAGCTCTGATCCTTTCCATCTACTTTTTCCACCGCTCACATTCCACTTCAGTTGCATTTTGTTTTTGTTTGTAGCATTTGTAATTCAAGTGAGTCAGTCATTACCCTTAATTTCTACCATAAAGATAACCCAGGGCCATCACTTCTCCCAAATCAGCCAAATAACATAGAAAGTAGTAAAAGAAAAAGCTTAAAATTTAATCATTGATTGACATATTTCTTATTCTCCTCACTCCCAAACCAAAAGCTTACAACTTAAAGATCATAAAGTAAAAGCATTCCGTAATAAAGCTACCAACAGGTAATCGTACGTCAACCTATATAAATCTAAAATCCTGTTCATTCTGAGAGAACCAAACTTTTTCTTTTGTCAAGAACACATCTTCAGTACCAAATTCAGCAGCACCCATAAAGCAGATTTTGAAAGTTTCTAAAAGGATTAAGATAAATAGTAGATGATAAACCAAAACAAGGAACATTTGGGGGTGCACCTGTAAACATTACCTAGTATACTATTATTTCAAATTAGTATATAAAGTGTATGCTATAATATACATGTATTATAATGTACAATATTGTACCTGGCATATAATAAGTGGCCATAAATGTTAGCTATTAGGATAACACTGTGGAATCATGAAAGGCATTCATCCATTAAAAGTTTTAACTTAAGAAAAAAACATGCGACTTTAAAGTTTAGAACAAGGTTTTAAAGCAAATGGACTTGTGTTTGGGTGATTAAACTGTAAGAATTTCCTTCTTTTCTCTATTTTCCAATTTTTCTCTACTTTTATGATGGCAACAAACTTTATTAAAGATAAAAAGAAGAAACCGCTGAACTCAGATTTCTAAAAATCTGCTTGCTGGTTGCCTTTGTGACCTTCTGTAATAAAATACCACCTCCTCTCACCTTAGTACTTTTCACTAGTGCTTTTCCAAACATTTTCCCAAACTCCTAGGTTATTTTACTTAAGAGACAGTCTAGAATATAAATACAGTAACCCAGGTACAGGCACACTCAAGGCCATAAAAATATACAAATGATTTCTGGGACTGATTCTGTTGAGGTCATTAATCTACAGTCCTCAAAAGAAAGAATGGTTTGGCACTCTATTTACTTAAGAATTACTACCCTTGCCATTTATTAACCATTCTTCTTTCTTCTCTCTCTTGAACAATCCTTCTCACTCCCACTGCTTCTCCAAATCTAATGCTAGTAACTCCCTTACTGGTTTGTTTTCTATAAAGTCTTTCTAAACCCTACTAGCCAACCACAATCCCATACCTTCTTTTAAAATCTTGTGGCTCCAATCCATGCCACACATCTGGAACTTGCCATATGTACTGGTATTCAACATATATAAAATCTATTTTTTATATTCCATTATAAGTTCCTTGCAGGTAAGGATTATATTCCTAAATCCCAGCACTACTGGAATGCCTCACATAATGATGTACACCATCTACAGTGCTCTTACAGTTTACCAAATTGTTCTATATATACTTGAGCCTCACAGCTACCCAGATAGGAATAAAGATGACTCCTATTTTACAAAAGGAGAAACAAATTCAGAGTCTAAATCATTTGTCACGGTTCTATCCAACTAATCTTCAAGATCTATTTACAGTACTAAATATATGTAGCAAATTTAAGAAACTCCTGAACAGAAGACAAACCTCCATAAAATGGAAAATCCATGTGCTTTACTGTTGCCAGGAACTACTAAATTAGGGACCTCAAGTTCAACTCTGCCCAACTATGCATAACCAACTTTGTCCTTGGAGCCCTTGATAAAAAACTGCCAACACAACAAATACGACACTATTAGAACACTTTCTTCAACTTCTTAAGGTATATAAAATTTTAATATAATACTATGACTTCTATTTAGAACCAAAAAAAGGGACATTTCAGCATCAAACCACAGTATTACAAAACTTGAAGTCAGAATGCATTTTGCAAGAGCCATGTGACACACACATGACAGTCAGCTAAACCCATGGGCGGACCTTTTAGGGGAAATGTTCGGCAGTAACTGACCAAAGCAGCAAATAAATTCAACATTTAGGTCAAATACTGATCTTTGCTTTAAAAAATTCCTCAAAGCCTTCTGACACTATAGAAGAATACCAATTAAATCTCCTTCAATTATTCCTTAATTTCAATATGCAAACTGTAGAAGGATGTTTTTAAGGGCCATTAAGGAGAACCCAAGAAAGTCTTCCCAAGGAAAGTGAACACCAGTTCCCAGGAAAGGTGCCAGGTGTGTCACATCTGCTGTGGTGACTTACTGAGTAAGCAAGAAAAAGAAATGCATTAACTTTTCATGACACGTCATGGAACCTCATTCCCTATCTGCAAGCATTCAAGTAGGTAATCCAAACCCTACAGATCTATCTTAGGGCCCATTCGTTTCTCTTTCAACTTGAAAGCAAAGTCTTCCTTTTAGTTGGTAATATCACAAAGATGTCCCTAGGTTTTAGTGCTGGTGTTTTGTTTTTCCCTTGACCTACACATGGCAAAATGACTGTAGTGTCCTCAAAATAATAAAAAATTCTCACAAATGCCCAGGTTTTTGGGAAGGCAATGGGACCGCTGAGTTCGTAAAGAGCTCCAGGAAAAAACTAAAAGAGAACTAAAAATTTTAAATCTCTTCTCACCATCTACCCATTCCCCTAAATCCCACGCAATCCTGAAAAGCATCCATATTACCTACAACCTGGCGCGGAGGGTGGGAGAGAGAGCCAACAAGCTCAAGATTTGCAAGTAACGCTGGTTTCCACCCCGACGGCTCTGACAGCTCCGCAGACCGCGGGCGCAGGGTCTAACAGTGTCCTCTAGGAGAGTTCTCCCACCCCATCCTCTCCCTCCCCTTAAAAACAGGCCCTCCTTCAAAAGTCACTGCCTCCAAGAGAAGCTACCCCTTCCCACGACCCCACCACCGACTCCCCGACACCCCAACCCCCTTACCAGACTGCTCCTCCGCACCGGCCTGGCACTCAGGCCAGGACTCCAACCAGACCGGGTCCAGGCCCGGACGGCTCACCCCTCCGACCCGATCCCTCCCCCCGACCGCCCCTCCTCCGTCAGACAATGGGGCCCGACTCCCCGCCGCCAATCTCTCCTGCCCCATCACCCCCACCTCACCCCGGCCGAGGCCCCCGCCTCCGCCCTCCTCGCCCCCTCTAAGCTTTCCCAGGCTGGCCCACGGACCCAGCCGACCGGCGCTCTCCTGCACTCACTATTCGGGATTCATGCTGGACATGTCACTGCAGCTGCCGCCGCCGCCACCGCCGCCCTTGCTGCTGCAGCCGCCGCCCTGACTCTCCGCGCCACGGGTAGTCGAAGGGAGAGGAATGAGATACGCTGTTCCGAGAGAGCAATCGTCTTCCCTCCACTCCGTCCCCTTAGAACACAATCAGCAGCAGCCACCACTCAGCTATCGCTTCCACCCAAAATGGCCGCCGGCGAACCAGGAAATAGGAAAGCCTTAGACCAAGGGGCCTTTACACAGCCCAAAGGGCGGCCGCACCGCGTGGCATGCCGGGAAAGAGAGTTGCGAGCGTCGCTGCGGGCGCTGGGGAACGACGGTACGGCGCCGCGACCCGGACTCAGCTTCCCGCCAAGCCCCGCGTTTCTGGCGCACGCGTACTTGAGAGGTTGTCGCCCGCCCTATTCCCCCCCTCTCCCAACCCCCCCCGCTCCGCCCCTCCCTGCTCCCCTCCCCTCGGACTCGCTGGCTAGGACTTCGCTAGGACTCCCCCTAGCGGATTGGCTAAGGCCGAGCGGCCCTGGTGATGTCATCAGTGAGACGTGGCAGCCAGGCGAGTCAGCGCCCCACGGGGGAGGGGAGGGACTGAGGGCTGTGCCGGCCGCTGGCGGAAGAAGAGGGTGGGGATCAGGGGGCCTTGAGCGGCGGGGAGAGAGGGGTTGGAACCCGAGGCACCGCCTGAGTGCCTAGGCGGAGGGAAGGTTTGCCTCCTGTGCGCCTTTTGCTGGCCTGACCAGCTTGAGGCTTGAGCTTCCCGGCTGGTCCCAGGACCTCCGCTCTAAGGATGGAAGAAGAGTCCAGGGGCCTCTGCGGAAAACTTTGGGTCTTTGGAAAACACGAAGCCGTTCTTTCAGTTCTCTTCCTCACTCACCCAACCCCACTGGGTCTGGTCATCGACCAGTGTTGGCCGCAAGCACTACCATTTTCTTTTTTGATCTCTTACCATTCCCTTTCCAGCCCCTCTCTGACCACGTCAGCCTGGATATTGCAGCAGCCTCCGAGTGGACTATCTGCCTCAGTCTCTTCTCTGCCCCATGCCATTTGCACCCATATCTAGACGTATCTTCCTGAAACATTTCCATCCCTAACCCCACATCTTTCAGTGCCTCCACGTTGCGTGGATGGAGCACAACCTGGAGCCAGACAAAAATCGTGATCTTCCTGCCCTGGTTCCAGCCTTCGGGTTGAGTTATACTTATTTTTAGTTGTCATTTAATTCTGAGCCATTCAACAAGATTGACAAGTAATAAGCAATAGCGCAGATCATCACTATACAATATCTGGAAACTTCAGGAGTAATATTAACACTACATTTTTTTAAAAAGCTTATTGTCTTAACAGCTCTCTTTAATCAGCTCAGGAATTTAAATCTCCACTAAACTTTAACACATTATCTCGGGTTACTTAATTACACAGGGCATAGTGTAATACATTGGCCAAAGTTTATCTTCCAACTTGTTCTAAGAACCGAGAAAATTATCTCAAAAGTGTGGTTGCATGATCACTTTAAATTCCCATGACATCAGAATATGGAAAGAAGGCAGTTCTTACTTCTACCCATTTACTAACTACACCCCTTTAACGCACAAATTTAACGCATGCGCTTTAGTTGACCACCTCATCAAACAGTAGACTAGAATTCCTTCTCATCATGTTGTCTTCTGAAACGAACGTGGTCAACACGTCAGAAGTACCCTGAATGGATCAATGATAGACGTCAAAAAGTGTTTATTACCCTAGACTCTCGTCCCTTCCTGCTTATTGTGATTTCACAGAAGAAATACTCAGAAAATCTCTAAAGAATTCATCTTGAGGGACTTCCCTGGTAGTGCAGTGGTTAAGAATCTGCCTGCCAATGCAGGGGACACGGGTTTGATCCTGCCACGCAGCACCTAAGCCTGTGCGCCACAACTACTGAGCCTGCTCTCTAGACCCCGCATGCCACAACTACTGAAGCCCGTGCACCTAGAGCCCATGCTCAGCAGCAAGAGAAGCCACTGCAATGAGAAGCCCGCGCACCTCAACGAAGAGTAGCCCCTGCTAGCCACAACTAGAGAAAGCCCGCATGCAGCAATGAAGACCCAACGCAGCCATAAATAAATTTATTTATTCATTTTTTTAAAAAAAGAATTCATCTTGAGCCAAAGATAAAAATTCTAACCTGTTCCTTCCCTTGGAGGTATAACCCTATACTTCCTTTAATTACTTATTTCCTTTCCCAAGAAATAACTAGTAACTTTAACCTAAGCGAGAGTAGTTGTTAGATTTAAGTGAAACATGAAAAAGCATGTAGTACAATGACTTTGGGAGCACTTAGTAAATGGTAATTACCTTCCTGAAAGTTTTTTTTTTGGCTGTGTTGCATCTTCGATGCTGCGCACGCGCTTTCTCTAGTTGCGCGAGCGGGGGCTGCTCTTCGTTGCAGTGCGCCGGCTTCTCATTGTGGCGGCTTTTCTCACTGTGGAGCACGGGCTCTAGGCGCGCGGGCTTCAGTAGTTGCGGCTCATGGGCTCTAGAGTGCAGGCTCAGTAGTTGTGGCGCACAGACTTAGTTGCTCCGTGTCCCCTGTAATGGCAGGCGGATTCTCAACCACTGCGCCACCAGGGAAGCCCCCTTCCTGAAAGTTTTAAGTGTACCTGCTGTATACCAAGGACAGAATGCCTCATATCATAGTTGTGATGTTGTAGTATGCAAGGAGATCAGAGACAGTGGTGGGTGGGTGTTTCCCACCCCGTACTACACCTTATATGTCATTTACATTAACTTCCTTCCCCAAAAAAGTGACAGTTTTGCTGATTCAAACTTTAATATATTTCATATTAGGTGTTTGATTAGCTACTTTTATAGTTCTGATTAATAACTCTATAATTCATTAAACTAGCACGAGCCCTGTTGATTGCCCTGTTGTTAAATCAGAACTCTCCTAAGGCCATTTGGCTCTTTGTTCTCTGGCTCATTCTTTTCTTTCTTTCTTTCTTCGTTCCTTCTTTTCCTTTTCTTCCCTTTTTCTTTTATTAAATATTTATGACCTGGCATGTAATAAATGTGCTTGGAACTTGTGCTTGGAACGATGAGGAATACAAAGGGGAATGATTACAGCTCTCTAGCTGCAAGATAACAACCTATTGAGAGAAAGATGTGTACACAAATAAGGCTTAGAGGGGAAAATGCAAAAATAAATTTAAATAATACAATGTGTATAGAGACAGAAATCAGATCAGTGACTGCTAGGACCTAGGAATGGGAGGAGGGAATTGTCCACAAACAGACACAAGGGAACTTTTGGGTTTGATGGAAATACTCGTTTTTTTTTGTTTGTTTGTTTGTTTTGCGGTACGCAGGCCTTTCACTGTCGTGGCCTCTCTTGTTGCGGAGCACAAGCTCCAGATGTGCAGGCTCAGTAGTTGTGGCTCACAGGCCTAGTTGCTCCGCGGCATGTGGGATCTTCCCAGACCAGGGCTCCAACCCGTGTCCCCTGCATTAGCAGGCAGATTCTCAACCACTATGCCACCAGGGAAGCCCTGTGGGGATTTTTTTGATGAAGTTTTAAATGGGATTTTTTTTTTAACTTTCTCTTTCTGATATTTCAGTATTAGTATATAGAAACACAATGCATTTCTGTATATTAATCTTGCAACCTTGCTGAATTCATTGATTAGTTCTAATTGTTTTGGGGTGGAGATTTTAGGGTTCTCTATATAAAGTATCATGTCATCTGCAAATAGTGACAGTTTTACTTCTTCCCTTCCAAGTTGGATACCTTTTATTTCTTTTTCTTGTCTGATTGCTGTGACTAGGATTTCCAATACTATGTTAAATAGAAGCAGCAAGAGTGTGCATCCTTGTCTTGTTCCTGAATTTAGTGGGAAGGCTTTTAGCTTTTTACTGTTGAGCATTATGTTGGCTGTGGGTTTGTTGTAAATGGTCTTTATTATGTTAAGATATGTTCCCTTTACCCACTTTGATGAGAGTTTTTATGATGAATGGATGTTGAATTTTGCAGAAGACAAACTTTTTGCATCTTTATCACAAGAGGCCGTGGAGCAAGTTAGAGCAAGTTGTCCACTGAGCTGGGAGTAAGAGTTATCTCTTTGAATGTTTGCATTACAAAGATATAGGAAGCAGAAAAGGATTTATCATTGCAAGCTTTCTAAAGTAACTGCTCTAAGAGGGGGTCCTGTGGCCTGTCTGGCTGTCACCAAGTTTTGGCTGGAATAAATAGTAAATTCTCCAGGCAGTATTGTGCTTTCTCAGGCAGGCATTTTAAGGCGGGCTGGGGTCATCCTAAGAATGTGGCCTCGAGCTGTTAGAAACTATCCTGGTGTTTGTTCAAATCTCTTGGTGTGTAGGGGTGAGTGGGTGGGGTGGGTGGTGTAGACAAAATCATTTGTGCTGAAAGTCCATAATATTTATAGGCCAAGGTTGAGACCTAGTTGAGAAGAGGGCTCAAAGGAAGTTGACCAGATTTTGGCCAAAGAGAGAGTTTTTGTCAAGACAGAACTCTGGCTTTAAGATGTCCAACAATTGTGTGAGAACCATCCCTTTATTTCAGTGACTCTAAAGTACCACATTTGATACAGAAAGTAGGCAGCAATGGTGAAAAATCTTAATAAAGTTGGAAAAGGTTTCCAGGACTTGAATTTCTGTCATCACCTGCCCCTTCCTCCAGATACCCCCTCCCCATACCCAACTTTACCCTAAAAGTATACCCACAACACACATTCAGCTCATCCCCAATTCAGTTTAAGGGGTTTTCCACTCCTCCTCTACTTTTCCTCACCTCTCCCAACATACAGAACATCTCCTCTTGCCTTAGGGCTGAGAGAGAGTTTCAAGGCGAGGTTACCACTTCACCTCTGCTTTCTCCCTCCAAAACAGGAAGGTGGAGAGGATGTAGACTCTTGCTTCCCTACATCCCCCCCATTGAGTCTTCTCAACCTTGCACAAGACTTGAAGCTGGATGGCATTGGCTGAACCATCCTGTTTCACTAAAATGTGGTGGGTATCAGGGAACACTGGTACGGGAGAGAACCTTGGAGAATATTTACTAAAGAATGCTTGATTAATTTTAGGCAAGAAAACTAAATCCTGTGGGTGAGTTAACGACACAGGAGGAGTAGAACCCATCCCTCCCAACTCGCATTCTAGTGCTCTTCCCATTAAGCTTAGGATTATGTGCTGAGGCCCCTGGAAAGGAAGTGTTA